AGAAAAACATTTTTTTAAAAACTATAAGAAACTCATAGTACAGAAATAATAATATACTACAATCCACTCAATAAGAATTCTAAACCGTGTCGGGAGTATCGGAGCAGTTGAGACACATTTTTTCTAAACACCGGGTGTCTCTAGCTTTTAAACCCCAAAACACGCTGCGCCAAAACTGGTCCACCCCAAGGATCGGGTCCCCCGACACGAACAGAGTAACACAGTGTACGCTGTTAAGTGCAGGAGGATTGGCAGGATTTATACATCGGGGAAACCAAACAACCTCTGGCAAAGCGGATGGCACAACACAGAAGAGCCACCTCGTCAGGACTCTGCAGTCTGTTTACACCTACAGGCCAGTGGACACTCTTTCAAGGATGAGGATGTAACATCCTGGACAGCGAGGAACGCTGGTTTGAGGGCGGAGTCAAGGAAGCCATTTACGTGAAAAGGGAAAGACCATCTCTGAATCGAGGAGGGGGCCTAAGGGTACATCTGTCACCATCTTACAATGCTGTGATTGCAGCCATTCCCCAACTCTCTGTGAATGGTACTCATGGTCTTTGATCAATGGTCATGAGAATTTGCATAATTAAGATTAAGGAACTGACCTCCCAGCCCATTGTTCCTTCGCTGGGCTGGTTTGAGTCATTATGCAAATGTACTGTTTATAAGATTGAAACCTGCAGTCAGCTGAGACTGAAGAAGTCACCTGGATGAATGACGAAATGTTTCTCCCACAAAACACTACGTCCAGATGAACACAATCAACTTTTAGAGATTTTCTTTCCTGGATGATTGAGAATGCATCAAGACGTAAAGAACCAGAACTAAACATGTCTGTGAAGGTTCTCAGTCATCCAGGTCATCATAGTCTGTTAGACCTCTGCCTTACTACAACATACTTCAAATACAACGAAGGCTTCAACAGACAAAAACATGGCTGTGCCATGGGCTCCCCCGTGTCACCTATTGTAGCCAACCTTTACATGGAGGAAGTGGAAAGGAAGGCTCTTGGCTCTTTCAAAGGAAGAGTACCCAGCCACTGGTACAGATATGTAGACGACACCTTAATTAATTACTTAATTAACACCATTAATATTTTGAAGTTGAATGTTTAAAATCCTGCAGCCACAATAAATCCAAGTTATAAAATCAAACAAATATATAAAATAAGTAAGTAAAAAATAGTCTATATTAAGCTAAATACACTAATTTAAACATAATAACTATAATACGTTGCCAGAAGGTGAAACTTTCATCTTTTAAAATGAGAAGATTTGCTGTTTTTCTTCCTCTCAGAGAAACTGAATTATTTTCATTCTTGGACTAAATATATATTTTTCACCTAAATGATTAATCAACTAATCATAACGAGATATTTATAACATTTTCCTTCCTTAATTTTACAACCACATCTGTTTGCAGGGGTCTTGTTTGCTCTGAAGATCGTCAGTAACCACTTCAACCCCAGTGGTGTGACGTACGTTATGAATATTCGGGTGTCCAATCACTTTGCTAGCTGGGTGGAGCTGGTGCTCATCTATCTAATCGCTCCTGGGTGAGAGACTGCTCCAGTCCAAGATGATCACTGAGAAAACAAAATCGATTTTGAAGCGTAGATTTGAAGGCAGCATCTTTTTTTATCTAAAACTGAGCAGATATTTTATCATCGTGGTCTTTTTCCCTGCTGCTCTCTTTCAGGACCTCTCTGGTTGCCCACCTGGCAGGTGTCCTGGTGGGTCTGCTCTACACTGTGGGTCCACTGAAGACCATCATGGAGGCATGTGCAGGTCTGAATGCTGCTTTCTCAGTTTGTGTAGCGAATGAATTCTTCATTCTGCAAACAAATAAAACAAAAATGATAAAATTGTGTTTTTTACACAGTCATGATCAGCAAACATCACATTAGCAGTTACAGCATGTTGTATTTGTTAACTGTGTGAGCCTGTGTGAAAGAAATCTTTAATACTTATATATGAACCTGAAAATGCTCTTTTCTCTCTCTCCAATCAGATATGATATCTTCAGATGGAGTTACTTCACGCCAGCGTTCATACTACAGCTTTTCAGGTACAACAGCAATGTTATAGAAAACATAAAGGATCCACTGTTTTATGGAATATGCAATAATCCAGTGAGAAAGACTGTTTGTTCAGTTTTCTGGTACAGCTTTTAAAACCTGGGTGCCCACTTTCTGAAAGACGAACCACTTTAGGATCCATGATGAGGTTGCCTCAATTTATCTTCAACATTTTATTATTGGAGATAAATTATCTGAATTTCAGGAGTGGGACCATGCCTCCAAACACGCCCCTTCCAGGTCTTACCTATATATGACAAGCTGTTCGTTCTTGTTTTCATACCCAACCTCCCCCTTTTTCAGTTCTTTCACTTCTTCACTTCTCATTAGTACACAAGGATCTGCCGGGCCCTGGAGCCACCGCATGTGCCCATGAAGGCCTTCCCCAAACCGCAGCTCAATTCTTGATCAAGCCATTCGCCTTTATCTACCTAAAAACGCTGCCAAACCTAAGATTAGTGAATGTGCACCTTGCAGTCTTGGACCCTTTTTGCCTTCACAGCAGTCTGAAGAATTAAGGCCACATAAACATCAGTGATGTGACTCTCATGTTGTAGATCTGGTGACTGTGGAGGCCATTCGAGTAAAACTCGCAGTTATGTTCAGGAGACCAGTTTGAGATGATTTGAGTGGATAGAGTTTATAGACACTCAGTACTTTTATTTTTATTAACTTTCTGTGTTGTAACCTTTTCATTTTTACCCAACGTTGCAAGATTTAAAAATTAAACTCAAGTTAGAAACTTTAATCTTGTAGTGCACATGTGTGCCTGCAGGCTACAGCGGGACCAGACGAGAATACTTTGAAGAGCCTCGACCTGCGGAGGATCACACGTCTGATTATTCTGAGAGCTACATCTCAGGACTGACGGAGGAGGAGCAGATAGAGCTGGCCATCAGAAACAGTCTGAAACATCGAGGCAAGAGGCAGAAGTGACAGTTTGCTTTCACTGCTGAAATTAATACTTAATTTTATCAAATAAATTAGATACATTTGAGCCAAATTATATTTAAAAATTAAACATTTAGCCACAACTTAATTTTTCAGAACAAACCAGGCGAAGAGAAACTGAACATCACCCAGGAGACTCTGAGGATCTCAGGAGGAGGCGGCTGAGGAGGTTTGAGCAGGAAGTTACCAACCAGAGAAGAAGATTGTAATGAAGGATTTTTATTTTCCATTTTTGTTTTTTTCTCATTTTCACTGGTTTAACTGGGAAGATGCCTCCCATCACTCTCCCTTGTTGCTGCGGGTCACATAAGAGGATTGAATCCAGTCTGATGTCTCATGAAGGTGCGGCCTGCAGCGGTCTTCGAACAAAGACTCCCTCCTAGTTTGGACTTCTTGTATTACTTGGTGACTTTGTTTTCTATTGCATGTCACCTTTGCTTTTACTTCCTGTCTTTATTTTCCTGCTGTCTGGTTTTCTGCCAGCATATCGGTTTTATCTGTGGTTAATTGTTTCCACTTGTGTCTCGTTATTCAGTCTCTTCTGTGTATATTTAGTGTTTTTGCTCCTTGTGTGCCACTGGCTTTTCCCTTTTTGAATTTCACTGTGGGTTTTGCCATTGGTGGTTTTTCATTACTCTGCCAGCTGCTGCAGCTTAGACCTGGGTCCTCTCCACCATGTTTAGGCTACTCAGCGTCATTCATGTAGACCTGCACATCTGAACCCAGTGAGCACAGACCTGGTTCACCATCACTTTAATACGTGCCTCAAATTCTGTGTATGTGGAACGCTCCTTTGTTGCCTTCGGTAAGCCATTCCAACATTTAGCTCCTGTATTGACTAAATGTTGTGCACCTACAGACTGCCCCACACTCCCCTCTAGCGGTGGCCCTTGTGCAACTTCACAATCTGACTTTTGATTAATAAATTCCTTTAAAGGATGTGGAGCTAGTCTATGTAGATCCTTATAAATAAAACAGGCATACTTATTTTTTTAAATTATGAAAACTCAGAAACATGTTTTTCCAGAATTTTTCAGGGATAAAATAGCGATGAGTTTTTTCAAAAAGTTTACGTTTTTGTAATTTCAACTATTTATAACCACATAGTGAAACAATACTCAGTATATGATAAAAGTCTTGAACTGTAGACACATCCTCTCTGCATTGATGGTCTGGAACAGTCTGATTTGCTTGAAACTCTGAAGGTTAAATTTTACAAGCCGGATAACTTTTTAGAATCATGTTTAGATGTTAAAGTCGGGTCCAAAGTGAGCACAGCATATTTATACCAATTTACAGCATCAAGCTCATCCCCTTGAATCCTTGACTCCTCTCCTTGCCTCCTCTGATTTTCTATTAGTCCCTCACACCAGAGATGAGGAGGAGGAGGCGAGGGGAAACATCCATCCAAAGGTGTCCTTTCTTAAACCGATGTCAGTAAAATTTGACATTTGATACACTGCATCATAGTTTTGTTAACGGTTTTACGATCTCAGGTGTGACACTGCAATGTGTCATATTTAGGAACCCTTTTAATTTAAGGATATCACACATTTTCTTGAATTACACACACAGAAATTGTGGAGGGTAGAAAATGTAATAATCTTAACTGAAACATCATCATAACAGATAAAAAGCACTCCCTGTGTGCAGGGCCTCTTTTATAAAAAAAAAGAAGAAGACATTATCAGGAAAGACTCACCTGTGCACCTCTGATTATCACTCCTCCTGCAGCTTCACGATACATGTTAGGATTTGAGACAGCCTTCAGTATGGCTCAGTGAAACACAATGTGTTTAAAGAGGTAAATGCTGAAATTTAAATCACTCTTTTCTTTTGCATTTGCACTTTTATTTATCTTTTTTTACATGAACTTCTGTATTGTGCGTTTGTACATGTACCATATGTGTTATATAAGAAGCAAAACTCAATAAATAACTGGTTAAAAATACATATACGACATGTTTGGAGACTGTAAACCAGCTGATCACATTCTAGTGCCGAGCTCTGTGCTGCTGTAGCTCTGCTCTGGCCCTGAAGTGCTCCTCTTCCTCCTGTCTTCAGTCGGCTGCAGCTCTTGAGCATCCACAGGGTTTTCAGAGCAGCCTTCCTCGCAGGTAGCAGCAGGTGAAGACGAGGGGCTGGAGTCTGTGGCAGCGGTGGGAGTCGGAACAGCGTTGAAGGCGACAAAGCCAATGAGGATGACCACCAGCGAAACAATGTAGAGGCCGGAGAACTGAGCAGGAGCAGAAAGTGAATGTTCAAATTGCATTAAAAAAAAGAGTGCAGAAGGAAAGCCAGTTCATTGGGTTCAAGTTATGAATGACATTTTACCTGAGCTGGGGTTAGGCCCAACTGCACACAGTATTCTTTCCAATGACCAGCAGGGGGCGAGTCTGGATCCGAAACAACTTTTTATTTGACTTGGATTTCTGATCCTGAATGTGCAATATGATGTCCGTGTAAAGTCTGACATCTGTGTTCACATTTATGAGTTTCTCTGTTTAACGTTTAATTGCAGGATTTAACTTCATGGTAAATAATAAGAACAGGTCTTTTTGGTAAATGAGACTTTAAGTCTCACCTGTATAAATAAAGGTTAAATTAAAGAAAAAACAATATGGGAGTTTAGATGTTGACACAAAGAATGTAATTATGCTTATTAATGAGAAAATGTGAGTGTTTTATTAGGAGAATACTGTGCCACCTCTCATCTGGAACTGACTCATTTAAATTCACTGGCAGGTCAAAAGAGACAGATTCATATTCAACACATGCACAAACTGCATACATGCATGGAGCTCTGCATGAGAACACACAGCACAGAGTTACATTTTAACTTTTATCATTATTATTCATTAACACTTCTGAGCGTGCATAACACTCAGCAGGTCATTATGACCCAAAGACGGGGTGGGAAGAGACACTATCAGTGTTTATATGTGTGTGTGCTGGAAATAAGTCCTGTCATTAACTGACATTAAAGATTCTCATCTGACCCTGACTAGAAAACACATTAAAGCTCTGTTGAAAGACAAATAAATCATTTTTGTATCTATTCAAAGTTTCACACTCTAAAGATTAAAAATCTAATGTGTGTTCAGTATTCCTATTGTCTGTGTGTTAGTAGCAATTTTGAGGACGTGCACATCCCCAGGTGTGTAACTTCACATCACTGTCAATGCAGCCTGCACAGGTATGAATGCTGGAAATGGCACTGACCACTTGCGTGTACAGTGCTCTAGACTCCTAATTGGATTCACTGCAGAAGCACAATTCAAGCATCATCTCAAAAGAGAACGTGGCAAACTAGCAACAAAGTAACAACTTGATGTTTCAGTGAGCCTTAAATGGCTGTGAGAGGAACTACAGTCGTTTCACTTTGTTTTGGCTTTATTTTTTAACCATTTCAGTGAAACATGTTGTTCAATCCAGAAACTACAGAAAATGCTGTGTTTTCTCATTTGAATGTTCTAAGCCTCTGTTCATACACCTACATACCTTACCCAGAGTTGACTGATTACCGTTCATTGTGTTTTCTCAGTGTCTGTGCTGCTGACAAAGAAAGTATCCACGTCATGTGCAGTTAAGTCTTGTCAGAGCCTGTCTTCCATGGTAGGAAAAATGCATAACTTAGGGTAAAGGTAAAGATCATAATCAGTCCTCCTGTTGCATGATGCTGGTGCTGGATGTTCAGAGGGAAGACTTGAAGACTGATTAAACTGATAAAACTTCAGCTCCTGCTGATGGTGGGCTTTTTCCAATAACATAAATTGTGAAATTGTTCCCTCTAATGAGAAGGAATCACATACTGGAATACACTGGATAGATCCTGTAGTCATGACCTTGTAGGATCAACACATTGACAGACGATGTGATGCTTTTTACTAAGATTAAAATTGTTTTTTACAGTCCAACAGTGGGGAGGGTGTTAAAGTGCAGGTCAAGTTTCCTCTTGAGGCGGTTTGAAGGAAAGGACTGTCAGATATATAAAGTAAGAATAACCGAGTCTGCACTCACGTTGTAGTGGAAGAGGAAGATCCCACAGAAGAGGCCGAAGAGGTCAGCGGTGAGCAGGGAGAGGTTGACGGAGGTGGCGCTGCTTAGCTTTATCACTATAGGCATGAAGCTGTACAGAGCATACATACACAGTGCATAGGCAGCGAACAGCAGTCCTGAGAAGAGACATGACCACTGTTAGTTCATTTAAGTATTAAAGAAAACGCAAACATGAAAGAAAAAATCTCTTTATTTCTCAGGTCGACTTCTCCAACATGGTGATCAAAAGTGTCTAATAAAACCTCTAAATTAGTCATCTTTATACACTCAAAGATAAGTTACTGAAATAAGGAATATGAGGGGTGATGCTGTGGCTTTGTGATTTTTAGAAAATGTTTTTTCAAACTTTCACTGAGAAAATGTGACAAACGAGACGAGAACTGTGTTTCTGTGAATTTGGGTTAGATTATTTCTGCCCCTTTGTCATGGTCCCTGCTGTAAACATCAGATTTTAGTTGCCTGTAATTTCATTTTCTTCTCATTTCTTCTCTTTTTTTGTTACTTTTTGCCCTCCTTGAAGAATTATTGACCTTGTGTCTCCTTTCTTGTGCTTTTATGTTTTGAATTATTTTTTTAAGTTAGTTTTGTCGCATTAGTTGGTTGTGACACATTGGTTTTCCTACCAGCTTTGTTCTTTTCTTCTGGCTTTTATTAATAAAGTTTGTTATTTTTTTCACTGTGAAAATCTCAGTGTGCATAACCTTATGTTCTCGTAGTTTAAAGCATTAGTTATTCTGACACATATTGTGTTTATTCAGGTCCCAAAGAGTATACACTTAGGAGTATTTGTGTTGACTGTACCATAGCGCCTTTAAATATTTATAGTTTCATAATGTGTTAACAGTGTGGAGTTTGCATGTTCTCCCCGTGTTCGCGTGGGTTCCCTCCGGGTACTCCGGCTTCCTCCCACCGTCCAAAGACATGCAACTTGTGGGGATAGGTTAATTG